AGGAAAGGAAAGGAAAGGAAAGGAAAGGAAAGGAAAGGAAAGGAAAGAAGTCTGAGCCTGGGGCTGTAACTCAAATGCAAAGCATCAGGACCTGGACTCCATCCTCAGTGTGACCAAAGAGTGAAAGAGAGATGGTGTGTGTCATTTTTGCTCGCGGTTGCAGAAGTCTCAGTCCACAGTCCTTTGGTCCTGTCACCTTCAGCCCTGTGACAAGGTAACACATCACAGTGGGGAGGTAGGACAGAGGAAGCTGCTTCTTCGAAGCAGAGAGACGGGGACAAGGAAGGGAGAACGGGCCTACTATCCCCCTCAGTGGCATGCCTCAACGACCTAACTTCCTTCAAACAAGCCCTACCTCTTAAATGGTCTGCCACCTCCCAGTGGCACCATGAACTGAGGACCCAACCTTCAACACATAGGCCTTTGGGGACATTTCCAAACTGTAACAAGAAGTTCCCTATAAAAGTGGGGAATTAGGCCGGGTGGTGGTATCACACACCTTTAATCCCAACACTCAGGAGACAGGGGCAGGTAAATCTCTCAGTTTGAGGCAAGCCTGGTCTACAGTGTGAGTTCCAATATAGCCAGGGCTATGCAGAGAAACCCTGTCTCTAAGGAGGGGCAGGAGGTGGGAATTAGACCTGGGAAGCAGATCATGTTACAGTGCTTGCCTAGCACGAATGGTACCTCAGTTACCCTCCATCTCCATAACCTCCCTCAAAAGACAAAAAAAGAGAATGTGATCGTAACTGTGTCTTAGTCAGCTGAGGCTGCTGTAACAAAACACCTCCCGCTGGATGGCTTCAACAGAAGGCATTTCTTTCTCACAGTTGTGAAGACTGGACGCTCAGAAGCAAGTGCCAAATGGCTCCACGACTGGTAAGGGCTTTCTTTGTGACTTACAGGTGGCCATCTTCATGTTGTGTCCTTAGACGGTCCGAGGGAGGGCAAGTGAGTGTCACTCTGGTCTTCCTTCCTTTTCTTATTTAAGGCACTAATCGCACCATGGGGGCCCCCCTTTATGACCTCCTGCTGTGTGACATCCTTCCTGAGGAAACATAAACATCACTGATCCCAGAGAGAGACCCAGTGACAGACCAAAGCAACAATACAATCAAAGTCTAACTTGGTGAACCAATGAGTTCACTGGGATTACCTACAGAGTAGGAGTAAGGGGTTACTTACAAGAGATAGATGTGCCCCCGCGGTGCTGGCGTAGGCCTTTAATCCCAGCACTTGGGAATCAGAGGCAGGAGGATCTCAGTGAGTTCCAGGACAGCCAGGACTGTTACATAGAGAAACCTAGTCTCAAAAAAGTGGTGGTGGCGGGGGAGAGCATGACTCAGAGGCAATTGCATCACCAAAGCCCTCACCAATGCGGGTGACAGTTCACGAAAGCTAGAGCCCTGGAGCTCTCTACTCAATTTGCAGACAGCTCCACAGGTTGGAGAGCCTTTGTTCCTCAGCAGCTGGCCTGGCTAGTTTCCGGTCAGCTAGACACAAGCTAGAGTCACCCGACAAGAAGAAACCTCAATTAAGAAAATGCCCCCATAAGATCGGCCTGTATACAAGTCCTTCAGGTATTTTCTGAATTAGTGATTGACGTGGGAAGACCCAGGCTACTGTGGGGGAGGCCACCCCTAGGCAGGTGGTCCTGAGTTCTATAAGAAAGCAGTCTAAGAAACCCATGGAGAGCAAGCCCATAAGCAACACTCCTCCATGGGCTCCGTGGCAGTTTCTGCCTCAGCTTCCCTGGATAGCAGACTAAAAGCTGAGAAAGGTGAAATGAACCCTTTCCTGCCCAAGCTGCTTTTGATTATGGTGTTTTACCACAGCAACAGAAAACAGAAATGGATACCAGGGCTTGGGACATTGCTGTGACAGACCTAACTCTGTGTTTTGGGAGGATCGTGGGAGCATGTTTTAACTTTGAACTGGAAAAGCTTCTGCTCAGATCACAGCTCTTAGTATTTATATAACCTTAGAGGGGGTGGAGCCTTGTGAATCTGTTAAGTTTCAGGGACTTCCTGAATCCAGAGAGTTTTTTTTTTTTTTAGTCTTTGAACCCCCCTTGCTGAGTCTTAAGGAGCTTACCTCCAGGATGTATGTAATGTTCCAGCTACACAACACCTCCCAAACACAGGCTTCAATGGGAACGTGAGGGTGGGGTTGCAAATATTTAGTCTATAATAATCACTTTCCTCATGAAAATTTTAAGAGGCACAAGCTGAACTTTTAAAAGATTTGTTTACTTTTATTTCGTGTATATGAGTATTTTACTTGCAAGTATGTATGCGAACTGCAAGCATGCCTAGTGCCCACAGAGACAAGAAGAATTGCTAGGTTTCCTGGAACTGGAGTTATAAAATGCTTTTAAGCTGACATTTAGGTGGTAGGTATTGAACTCAGGTCCTCAGCAAGAGTATCAAGAGCTCTTAACCACCAAATATCCTCCCATCCCTGAACCAATGAGCACCTCCCAATCCCTGAACCACTGAGCATCTCCCATCCCTGAACCACTGAGCATCT